AATCTACCCACAATAGTCTACCCTCTGGCTCCCATAAATTCATGTTCTTCCCATTTGCAATGTATAGTCACCCTATTCCAACACCCCTAAAAGTCTGAACCCATTCCATTATCAACTCCAATTACGAAATCTCATCTAAATACTGTCAACTCCAAAAGTCCCAAATTTCTTTCTTTCTTTTTTTTTTTTTCTTTTTTTGAGATGAAGTTTCGCTCTTGTTGCCCAGACTGGAGTGCAAAGGTGCGATCTTGGCTCACGGCAACCTCTGCCTCCCAGATTCAAGCAATTCTCCTGCCTCAGCCTCCTAAATAGCTGGGATTGCATGCACGCAACACCACGCCCAACTAATTTTGTACTTTTAGGAGGGACGAGGTTTCACCATTTTCTCCACATTGGTCAGGCTGGTCTCAAACTCCTGACCTCAGGTGATCCACCCGCCTCGGCCTCCCAAAGTGCTGGAATTATAGCCTCTGCACCTGGCTAAGGTCCCAAATCTCATCTTCTACATCAGGCCCAGGTGAGGCTCTGGGTATGGGCCATCCCAGGTTCAAAATTCTTTCCCATCTGTTCACCTAGAAAACTAGAAAATAAGTTGCCTGCTTCTGAAATATAATGGTGGGACAGATATAGAATCAACATTCTCATTTCTAAAGGGATAAATTGGAAAGGATAAAGGAGCCATGTGTTCTAAGAAAGTCCAAAACCCAGCAGGGCAAATTTAATTCAGATTCAAGTCCTGACAATAATCTCTTGCAGTTTGATGCTTTGCTCTCTGGGCCAGCCATGGAGGTTACATTGGCCCTGGCTTCCGGGCTGCTTGCAGAGGCAGAAACCTGGCTGTCCCCACCAACCTCTGAGCTGCCATGGAGAAGCCATTCTTCCCTTTTCTTGAAGGATAACGCATGTTTGCAGCTGAGTAGCTCCATCAGCCCATTTCCTACTCATAGAATCTGAGAAGTCTGACAGCCTTCCTTGGTTTCACCCTGTCTCTGTCCCCTTCAATCCAAGCTGGCAGTAATTTTTGGTGAGGTAACATTCTCCAAATCATTGTGGTCTCCTGTGCATGTCAAGAGGGATCCATTCCATTAAATAAAAGGGTCCTCCACAGGTCCTTCTTGGATAAACCTACTCCAATTCCTGACTTCTGCTAAGATGGCTGACTGGATCCATGAGTCACACATGCTGATTTTAATCTGCATCTGCTTAATCTCACCAGCAGAAAATCATCCAGTCACACTTTCTTGCCAGTGCCTGCCTTAGCATCTTTTGCAATGTGGATAGACTGAGAATGTTCCAGATCTTCAAGCTCTGGATTCTATTTGCTTAACAGCTCATGCCTCAATTTCTCTCTCTCCTATTGTCTTTTGCCACAAGCACCAAGAAGAAACCGGGAGGCACCTTCCACACTTTGCTTGGAAATATACTCAGCTAAATACCCAAGTTCATTTCTTACAAGTTTTACTTTCCACTCAACAGCACAACACAACTCAGACAAGTTTCTACCACTTTATAACAAAGGTTGCTTTTCCTCCAGCATCCAATAACATGTCTATCATTTTCTCCTAGGGCCTCACCAGAATCACCTTTAACATTCATATCCCAGGCTACAGTAGCAACACTCTGTTCATGACGATATATGTATTCTCTAGAATGATAGAAACTTTCTCTACAGCTCTCCTCACTTATTCCAGAGCTCTCTCACCAGAATCACCTTTAATTTCTATGTTTCTAGCAACAATCTCTTCAAGACAATCTAGACTTTTTTTATCATGCACCTCAAAATTAAGCAGTAGAAACATATTCCGCCATAGTTCTGGAGCTAAAAGTGTGAAACCAAGGTGTTAGCAGTGTTAGTTCCTACTGCAAGCTCTGAGGGAGACTGTTCCATGCTTCTCTTCTGGCTTCTGAAGGCTGCCATGCTCCTTGTTCCCCTCAGCTTGCAGCTGCATCACCCCAACCTCTGCCTCCATCTTCACAGGGCCTTCCGTGCTGTGTCAGTCCATGAGCTTTTATGTCTCTGTTTTCTTTTCATTGTTTTTATTGTTGTTTTGAGATGGAATCTTGCTATGTTGCCCAGGCTAGCCTTCAACTCCTGGCCTCAAGCAATTCTCCTGCCTCAGTCACCCAAGTAACCAGGACTACAGGCATGAACCACTGCACCCAGCTTTGTTTTCTTTTCTTATCATGACATTAGGCCCAGTCTAATCTAGTATGACCTTAACTTGATTACATCTGCAGTGACCCTATTTCTAAATAAAGTCACATTGTGTATCTTTTTGGGAGACACAGTTCTACTCACTGCAGTGTATAAAATCCCTATAAGTGAAATGTTCATTTTATCTCACTGCTTGTTTTACTGAAGTGGTATATATTCAGAGGCATCAGTGTCAGAAGATAGGTTGCATTGAAAATAGCATAGCCCCCAAATGCATTTTGTCACCAAGAGTCATGAAGGAGGACTTCATGTTGAGAACCTATGGAGCAGGGAGTTTCAACAAATTCTTATAATTTTTTGCCTGGCCAAGCAGGCCAACGATGTCCAGTTACTCGATTTGATTAAAGCACATATTGAGCAATATTTCAGAGTCTGGAGCTCAAGTTCTGGCATCAGATGGCCTGAGCTTAAATCCAAGATCCACTATGACCACATTCAAGACACTTAGCTGTGCTGCTTTTCCCACTTTCCTAAGTGTCTATTGGGGATTATGATGGTATGCACCTACATGAGGCAGTTTCTGGGACTGACAAAGGCTCACGTAGGCTGAGACCTTATTGGGAGGCCATGGGAGAGTGCGCAGTATGGACAGTTAGGCTGGAGTGCCAGGTTCCATGCCAGGCTGTCAGCCTTGGTCCCACTACTGGTGAGAATGTTGGTGCTGATGCCACAGTCCCTGGAGCCTCTCTGCAGACACCAATAGACTCCCAGGTCTGCATTGCTGCCTGGAACAATCTCTCCCAAGCTTTGCACCTTTAAAGCATCCTTCAGAATCCACGTCTCAGCTGGTGGTGGTGGTGAGGTCTCTGGTGGCTGAGCCCTGATCACATGCTGCATCCTAGAACACCAGGGTCCCCTTCACCACCCTGGTGAGTAGGAGACGTTGCCTCCCATCAATCCCCATACAGCAGAAGATTCCCCCAAATAAGAAGAATGTTTGGATATTGGCCAGCCAAAAAAGGAAAAAAAGTCCCTTATGCTATCTGTGATAGAAGGATATGATGACTGGATGATATACTGAAAGCACATTTAGCATGGTACATGGTACATAGCAAAGTATGACAAATGGGAGTCATTGTTATTATTTAGAACTAGACTAGGTACTAGGAGATACTGGGTGAATAAGACATTCCATTCCTGGCTCTCAGGCATTCACAGTCCATGAAGAAAGAACCATGCATGCCAGTAACTCTTACATAAGCTAGAACCTGACGTGTGCCATGCAGAAGCGAGTATAGAAAGCAGGAGATGGGGCCAGATGTGGTGGCTCCCACCTGTAACTCCAGCACTTTGGGAGGCTGAGGCGGGTGGATCACTTGAGGTCAGGAGTTCAAGACCAGCCTGGCTAACATGGTGAAACTGCATCTCTACTAAAATTACAAAAACTAGCTGGGCCTGGTGGCGTAAGCCTGTAATCCCAGCTACTTGGGAGGCTGAGGCATGAGAATCACTTGAGCCCAGGAAGTAGAGGTTGCAGTCAGCTGAGATCATGCCACTGCACCCCAGCCTGGGCAACAGAGCGAGACACCATCTAAAAAAAAAAGTGGGAGATGGGTGCAGAAGGGAGGGAATGCCCCATGCTGTCTCAGGGAGCCCGCAAATGCCTCACACAGACGGTATCTGCTTTCATCCAGGACCTTTGCAAAGCGCATCCACACAGGGAGACAGCACAAGGAAGACAGCATAGCCCTTTGTAAATTAAAGAAAAATACTGGAGGTGGTTGAAATGCCAGTTGGCTTTGATTTCTGAGCATGAGCACTTGGTATGAAGTTAAACAGATTGCCCCGAGCTGGTTTCAATCCTAGAGATGAGGGCTTGCTTGCTTTCTTTTTCCCATTTGTCTTCTGAAATGTTGTCAGCTGATTCCGAGACATCAGCTGGCAACTTTTTTTTTTTTTTTTTTGAGGCGGAGTCTCACTTTGTCACTCAAGCTGGAGTGCAGTGGGGGTAATCTTGGTTCACTGCAACCTCTGCCTCCTGGGTTCAAGCGATTGTCTGGGATTACAGGTATGCACCACCACGCCCGGCTAATTTTTATATTTTTAGTAGAGATGAGTTTTCACCATGTTGGCCAGGCTGGTCTCAAACTGTTGACCTCAGGTGATCCGTCTGCCTCGTCCTCTCAAAGTGCTGGGATTATAGGCGTGAGTCACCACGCCCAGTCTCAGCTGGCGACATTTTGATTTTTTATGTTTGATTGTTTATTCTTAATAAACAAGGCTTACTGAAAACTAACTGATGTCTTCAGGCAGTTAAGAAAAAAAAAAAAAAGAAGGAAATTGACAATGCAAAAATAATCCTGTATGCCCTTCTCTCTCCTGCTGTCTCATCTGTCCTGCCTCCTCCCCTACTGACCATAGGGGGATCCTGGGTATATTCGGGGGTAGAAGAAAACCTGTTGTTTTGGTGTGTAAGGAACTGAGACCTGGGGTCCCCACTCTTGCATGGTGAACACCCCTCTCCTCACTATGATGCAGTTCTTATAAACAGCAAAGTCTTGCTTTTGAATTATGAGTCTGTAGCCTTTTTTTCCCCACAACCTTGAGCCTCTGCCAACCTTGTTAAAACTCAAGGATTCTTTTATTACAACATTAAGAGTTAAAGGGTAGAATGGATATGGCCTACAACCAGCCTTTTCTGCCACTATTCCACTTGTCAAGGACATGTTAGTTCCCACTTGAAATCTTTCTGCATCACACAACATTTCATCCTCAGGCCCATGTGGTCTGTGGGTGGGCCTTGTTCAGCTCCAACAAATGAAAGAAGATTAATTAACAGAAGGAGCTGCAGCTGGGCCTGGAGGCAGTGGCTCTACAGCAGCAGTGAGAGCCAAGCTGTGACGGACACATGCTGTTCCCCGACTCAAGGCTGCCGAGTTCCCTCCAGCGAGGCTGCTGACCTGTTTTTCTATTAGGAACAACCAGCAAATGTGATAATGAGGAAAATGTACACTGGCTCCTGTAAAGTTTAGTGAAGCCTGAAAGAAGTGCAGGAGGCCACGGAGATGCGCGAGGAAGAACATTCCAGGCAGAAGGAGCAGGAAGGACAAAAGCCCCTAGGCAAGAATGGGTGGGCAAGCCTGAGATCCAACATGGCAGAGAGCAAGCCGGAAGTGCTGCGCAGGGATCCTAAGGGGCGCTGAACAGGACAAACTCAGTTTTGTCTCTCAAACTCCCGCAATCAGGTAAGTCATCGGCCTCGCATAAGATGTATGTTTTCCCCACCAATCTCCATTCTGAGGAGTGGAGTAGAAACTCCCTATCCTCTCATGAAATGTTGAGTATCAGGGAATAAGTGTGTGCTAAAAAGGGTTACCTCGGTGGAACTGGGTTGCTCAAATCCTGAGCATTTCAAAGGAAGGACTGGCCCCTGACCAGCTCTGGGGCGATAACTTCTGGGCCTTTGGAATATGCCTGAGGAGAACACCTTTGTGACCTGAGACTTCAGCCCTGCCTACCCCTTATGCTAACGGTGTGGTTTATGGGGAAGACCTGTTTTTATTTGCTGGGAGCCCTGGGCCATGCTGTATCTGTTTGACTTCTGGATGGGTGGGGAACTGGGGAATAAATGGCTAAGGACGGTCATGTCTATATGACAGGAGCTCCATGCCTATATGACTGACCTCCATTAAAAATCACGGCACCAAGACTTGGGTAAGCTTTCCTGGTTGACAGTAATTGGTGTGCGGTTGCTGGGAGGATTAAGTGTTGTCCCTGTGACTCTGCAGAGAACACCTGGAAGTTCACTCCCGGTTTCTCCTGAACTCTGCCCTATTGTCCTTTTTTTCTACGCTGATTTTAATCTGTATTCTTTTTTTTTTTTTTTTTTCTGACGACGGAGTCTCGCCTCTGCCGCGCAGCAGCTCGGAGTGTGCAGCTGGCCGGATCTCAGCTCAACTGCAAGCCTCGCCATCCCGCGCGTTCACGCCCTTCTCCTGCCCGCGCAGCCTCCGAGTAGTTGGGACTACAGACGCCCGCCCACCCCGCGCCCGGCTAGTTTCTTGTATTTTTTTTTCGTTAGAGACGGGGGTTTCACCGTGTTTCTGGGTCGCGCGTCTTCTGACTGCTCTCGCGCTCGCTCTTCCGCCCCGCGTGCGCGGATTACAGGCTTGGCCACACGGGATCCTAAATCTGTATTCTTTTTATCCCCAAGTTCTGGCAAGTCTTTGATGTATTCTTTTCCTGTAATAAACTGTAACTGTGAGCATAACAGTTTTTCCAAGTTCTGTGAGCCCTTCTAGCGAATCATGAAACCTGAGAGTGGCCTGGGGGCCCCATGGCAAAGTTGAATTCATCCCATCTATTTTTCCATCATCTTGCTACTCTACCTAGGTGTCAAAGCCCTAGTAGGAAGAGTCTGATTGGCTAACTTGAGTCACCCAGCCCATCTTGGCCAGGGGAGGAGAGGCACCTTGACAAGCAGGCCCCACACAGCTGCACGGAGCAGGAAGGAGGATGCCCAGAATTACTCGTATCAGAAAGAGAGAGTTGGGGCCAGTGTGGTAACTTACACCTGTAATCCCAGTGCTTTGAGATGCTGAGGCAAGAGGATTGCTTGAGCCTGGGAGGTTGAGGTGGAAGTGAGCTGTGAACACTCTTCTAATCTCCAGCCTGGGTGACAAGACCCTGTCTCAAAAAAACAAAACAAAACAAGAGAGTTGGGAGCTGCGATGCTGGTTAGGACAAATAGCTAATATATGCACCAGGCAGGGAAATGGGAGTCCAGGCTAGCAGGAAGAAGTTGGAGTCTTGAGAAGATAGTGACCAAAAAGCCATGTAGTATCTGGGTTTGTGTCCATCCAACTGTTGGCATCAAGAAATCACAACAGACGATGGAGGGTGCCAGCTGCAGGATGCAGCAGAATATCAAAGATCCAGATTTTTTATTGTGAGTTGAATTGTGTCCACCCCCACCAAAATATGTTAAAGTCCTAACTTCTGGTACTTATTTGAAAATAGGGTCTTTGCAGATGTAAACAGGTTAAGATGAAGTCATACGGGATTAGGATGGGCCCTAAATCCGTTGGCTGATTCCTCACAAAGGGAGAGATTTGATGACGAACAGGTGCACAGAAAGAAGGCCATGTAAAGACGGCGGCAGAGGTTGGGGTGACTCAACCCAAGGAACACCAAGGATGGCTGGCAGCCAGGGGAATCAGGAAGGAGCAACAGCAGATTCTTCACGGAGCTGTCAAAAGCATAATCCTGCCAAAATCTTGATTTCAAATGTCTGGCCTCAAGGACCATGAGAGAATCAATTTCTGTTGTTTTAAGCCATCAAGTTTGTGGCAATTTATTATGGAAGCCCTAGGAACCATTACAGATTTTGCCACTGGAAAGGGAGTGCTGCTTCTAAAAAATACGGGTTGAATTGGCCACGTGGACGGCCAGTGCTGTAGAGAAATGATTGAAATGTCCACTCCTGTATCTACGAATCCTTTAAATTTCTTTCCCTGAATAGTTATTTCACAGGTAGGATGTTTATCAGTAATTTGATTTACCCAATAAGCTGCTCTGTCTTGTTTATCTGTGCTTCCAAATCCTCCTGTTCATTTAATTTCACTTTTCCCCATTCCCACATATGGCACAATCAGGAGCTGTTCTATGTGCTCTCCTGGCTCTGCTTTCCAGGGAACAGAAGTAGACACAACAATTTGAATTTCCCCATTGTAATCTGAATCAGTGACTCCTGTATGTATTTGCACTTCATTTAAATTTAAACTAGACCTACCTAGAAGTAATCTTACCGTCCCTGTTGGCAAGGGTGCACAGACTCCTGTTGGCGCTTTTTGCAGGGTTCTCCAGGCAGAAGGCTCACAGCTTTTGTGCAGCATAAATCTACTGCAGCACTACTGGCTGTGGCGGGGGACAGGCATTGTACAGGGGTAAAGGAGTGGCCTGAGCCGGAAATGCCCCAGTTTGGAACAGGGCCCAGGACGGGCCCGTCATGGCGTTTCCCAAATCGGGTTCCCATCTTTATCAAACTTAGAGTGACATTGATTAGCCCAATTTTTTGCCTTTTTTACATTTTGGACGTATTTCAGGCTCAGCAGTTTTCTTTTTTCCCCCATCTGGCAGCCTGACTCGCTGATTCTTCCTACATTCTTTTTTAATATGACCATGCTTCCCACAGTTAAAACAAGCTCCAGGACATGGAGTATTTCCTTTACCCACTTCCAGTCCTGCCATGGCTTGCACCAACCAAGTAGCTTTATGCAGATTACCTCCGATACTGTCACAGGCCTTAATATAATCAACTAAATGTGCTTTCCCTCTAATAGGTCTCAGAGCGGCTTGGCACTCAGGATTGTCATTGTCGAAAGCTAGTAACCACAACAGTGTATCCTGAGCAGCCGAATCTGCAATCACCTTTCTAAGAGACTCCTTTAACCGAACTATAAAATCTGCATATGGTTCTTTTGGTCCCTGTTTTACAGCACTAAAGGAAGGGCATTGTTCTCCTCCTGAAGTGATTTTTTCCCAAGCTCTAATGCACACTCCTCTATGGCATCATCCTGCATGACCACTTGTGCATCTAAACCAGCCCAGCCACTGACCCCCAAAAGTTGGTCTGCAGTTATAGTAATTTGAGGTTGGGCCTGGGTGTTGCGAGCAGCCCGAATGGAAGCTTCATCTGCCCACCAAGTTTTAAATTGTATGAACTGAGCAGGAGTCAGGCAAGCTCGAGTAAAAGCATCCTAGTCAGTAGGAATCATCTGACTGGAGAAAGCAACATTCTTTCACTGCTTTACAAAAGCAGTTAACTGTGTTACAAAAGGAGAACCTGGTCCATGTTGATCAACAGCTTGTTTAAATTCTTTAAGTATTTCAAAAAGAAAAGGCTCAAATGTAGCTATAATATTCCCCTGTTGATCAGGTGGGTGTATTCTAACAGGGAACTGCCAAGCATTCATATCACCCTCTTGTCTAGCTTGCTGGATTCCTGCCTGAATAGAACTGACAGTGGTCGCTTGATGCGCTGCTTGAACAGTCACTGGGGCAACTACTTTTCATCCAGTGTCCTCTGGAAAAGAAAGATCCGGAGGGTCAGGCCACTCTTCTTCTTCAAAATAATGAGGGGGTGCAGAGGGGTAGGGACAAACCTCTCCCTTCTTTGCCACTTTAGCTGGCAAACAAACCTGCTCTGTCACCTCTTCTGTTACTTCATTATATTCTCCTTCTTCCTCTGATTCCTCCTCCTCATCATCTGTGTGGAAAGGCTCTAAGGTGGAATGAACCAGAACCCACACTGACCAGACAGTTATAGAAATATCCTCAGCACCATCCTTATATGCCTTTTTCAATGCGCTGCCTAGCTTTTCCCAGACCTCTACATTCACAGTTCCTTGGTCCAGAAACCAGGGGCAATATTTCTCTACCACACTAAAAACCTGCATAAGTCGGCTAGTGTTAACCTTCACTCCTCCTTTTCTGAGGAGCTGCCAAAGCAGATTCATATAAGCCTCATGCCTGCTCGACCCTTGTCCCATTGTTACCCTGATGCTTCCAAGCTCGCCTTCTTACTCACCACGGGGATTGCGTAAGAGTATTCGGGTGCTCTCCAGTGTAGTTCCACGTTCTCCAACTGTCACTCCGGCGACCCTTCAACCCAGGTTTGAACCCCATGTATGGGCGCCACTTGCCAAGACCAGCTCAGTCGTGGAGACCTTAACCCAGTGGCACTAGAGGAATGAAGACAAAGACACAGAAAGAGAGTACAGAGTGGGATCAGGGGCTGACGGCCTTCAGAGCTGAGAGCCACGAACAGAGTTTGACCCACATATTTGTTGACAGCAAGCCAGTGATAATCATTGTTTCTATAGATTATAGATTAGCTAAAAGCATTCCTTACAGGAAACAAAGGGACAGGCTCTGGCTTGTTATCTGCAGCAGGAACATGTCCTTAAGGCACAGATCGCTCATGCTATTGTTTGTGGTTTAGGAATGCCTTGAGTGGTTTTCTGCCCTTGGTGGGCCAGGTGTTCCTTGCCCTCATTCCAGGAAACCAACAACTTCCAGCATGGGTGTCATAGCCATCACAAGCATGTCACAGTGCTTCAGAGATTTTGTTTAGGGGCAGTTTCTCATGGTCTATTTATGGTCAGATTTGGGGGGGCCTGTTCCCAGCAACTTTTTTCACAGAAATATAAAAAATGGTGGTAAAATTCATATGGAACTAGGCCAG